TTTAGACAGTCTGCAGGTTTCTGTTCAGAATACAAACTCAAATAGGATTACAATTTCTTTAGCTCGGATGACCAATGTTGAGTATCAACACCTGACTACGTGGTTTTATATTTTATCCAGATATCTGTTTATTTATTACTGATTAATACGATGGCATTAAATCAGATATTTGCAAAAAAAAGGTTTCAAGAAACAAAAGATGTTTTAAGTGAACTGTTAACTGAGCATTCACATAGAAGGGGCCTAATGTTTAAAAAAAGGCTTCATGCATCATGTGATGCTTTCACTGCATGGTGGGCCACTGTATACAATAACATTAGGTGAAAATGTGTCCCAGACTTTGCATTTGTGCTTTGCATTGTGGGTATTTAATAAAATAGCCTGGTGTTCTTACGTTTGTATGAGCCAGAGATGCCGGAGTGTGTGAGGCAGCTCTGCAGCTCGTCTGCTGAGATCTGTCCATCCTGTCGGTGTTTAGGAAAGCAGAACAGTTACAATCAGCAAAATGCAGAAAAACCACAGAACCATCAGTACCCTCAAAGTTACTACTGTTCACACGTTTGAGGCATGCGGTGTAGAGTTGCTTTAAGCTTTGTGCCAGTGTGTTACCTGTCCAGCTACAGCTGCAAAATATCCGTAGAGAGGATCCTGCTGCAGAGAGGAAGAGAGAAGCAAGTCTGAAAGATTGATTTGGTTTCTTCGGTCCATCAACTTGCTTCAGTTCCAAAGATGAAACAACTAAATGTGGAGAACAGACCCCTTTCTGGCCAATCAGAATGTCACATCAGATCAGTTGCTATCTCATTATAGCTATCGGCGCAGTTGAACAACTTAATTTGAAGAAGTTGGATTTATCAAAATATATAACACACGACATGAAATCAGACATGACATCAGGCTCTGTGGAAAGCTTTCAAACAGGCTTTCAGAGGTCAAACATCTGAGGGTCTTGAAAGAAAGACAACCAGCAAGGGCATGTAAGGTCTTGAACACTCACACTGTCGTAGCGAAAGGACAAATACCATACAGACCAAAACAGCAAACCTTCCTGCACGCTGTCCCAATCAAAGTCTAATGACTGAAACATTTAAATAAAGTGAGTTTAAATGAAGAGACCACATTCCCTTTCATAATCATGTTTTTATATCGTTCCTGTTAACTAAGCGGGAGACACTACAGAGTGGCGAGAATGTGTGTTGGCGTGACATAGCTCAGTCTGTAGTTTGTGCAGCATCTGAGTCATTTACTTTATCTAAAACCCCTATTCACTCATATATAATCAATGCCAGCTGTCTGCATGCTTCACATTGTCCACCAGCGCTGACTCAGCCCCCCCACCCCACCCTAAACTAATTGTAATTCTACCATAAAACACACACACAAACACACACTGCGTAAACGGCATGGATTGCCTCTATTCTAAAAATTGCACAAGACATCTGGTTACAAGAGCTAGAAAGTTTAAAAGGGATTGCTCCAGAGAAGTGTTGAAAGTCAGAAAACAAAACCAATCAAGTCAAATTTACTATAAAGATTCCATGAAAACCAAATGCTGTAAACCTACAAAGACAACAACATCTACAGTGTTTAGGGTACTTGTACTTTACTTGAATGTGTCTATTCTTAGCTACTTTATAAATGTCACTGCAGTTCAAAGGGAACTGCATTATCTGACAGCTTTAGTAACTTTACTGGTTACTATTTCACAATTAAAACTTTGATCAATTTGTAAATATGACACATTGCTACAGATTAAACTACCCAAAAGTTTATGATTTAGTTTAAATTAGCACCAGCTCAACCAATTATAACATTAAAATGCTACTTACACATTAATGCATGAAGAGTATATTGTATTTCTGTCAAAACAGCCACCTAAATATTAAACAGTGGACCTTTAGTGGACTTTTGTAATACATTTGTTATTAATGGCTGTTATGTGTCATGTGTTTTTTTTCTCTCCTAAAAATTACCATTATTTTGAAAAACCACACATCAAAAGAAATGATCAGTAATATCGTTAAAAATCATTATTTAATATTAAAATGTGTGTGACAGCAATTGAAGAACACTTGAATGACTTGTTCCAATATTCTCTGAAGATTAAAGTAGAAACCTTTAAAGCGAAAATACTCGACCAACTTCTTCATTGTTTGGGCCGGATGCCCATCCCGTGGCGGTGCACATACTTCAGCTTTTACCGGTCAGGACTGTTATTTCATCACATTTTAACAGGTTCTTACCGCCACTGGAGCTCCACCGGGGGCCGCGCCATATCCAGGATAGGCCATTTTTCAAGCTGTTCTTTATAAACCAGTAAAACGGAGGAATCTAGTTGAATTCTGCACCACGGCTCTCTCTCCCTACAGAGGGCGGGTCTGCAGATGTAGCCTACGCCCGAGAGACGAGCAAAGTTCGGGTTATAAAGTGCTGTAAGTCAGCCTGAAGCACGGAGGCGGCTGTTAACCTAAATGTCCCGAGCAGAGAAGGGGAGCAAATGGGAGGAAACAGGTAGAAGAACGTGAATCCTGTGGGGTCGTGGTTAAATATCCTGTTTCCTCAGTGCGACCCAAACCTCTACATTCTGATTGGCAGCGAGTAACCACATGACCTGTAAACGACCAATTGCATCAAAGTGCTGGCTACAAGCCAAACACCTTGCGCAACGATGAAAAACAATTAAACTCACAGGTATGGACTGGCAGAGGGAAATGGTTATTATTACCGTACAGATTTTCTATTAACAGTAAGATGGCACACAAGTAGTACACATACAAAACCAAATTAAAATCATTGCATATTTTGAACAATCTAGGTATTCATCTTACATGCTAAATGTCATAGACATGCATTACAGTGCAAAATAACAAAACCTACACCCAGTTTCGTTGGATTTTAATGTGAATTTAAAGAGTATATTAAAACTGTAAAACATTGAAAAATGTAACAAACTATTAAAACTAATTTTTGTTAGTTTTCTAGTCCACCTTTATGTATAACTTTGTGTTGAACACATGTCTGCACTGTTTGTATATTTGTTTAATAAAAAAAAACTATGTAATAAAAACTGATTAGACTCACAAACACACTCAGTTGCCATGTTTATTAGGAACACCTATCTAAAACTAATGCTGTCTTATACAAAAGCCCTGCAACAAATCTAAGCACGCTCTATCTAGACCTACTGTGTTCATACATATACTGTACATCACCACCAACTTCGCTTATATCCATTCAATATTTATTCCTTTGCACAATTTGTATTTGTTTACAATTTACAGAACACTTGACTTCTATATAGACATGATTGCTTGCTTTTAATATAGGGCCTATATGCAGGCTACAAGCCTACACTTGTATGTATATAGGCTACAATATTTCTATGTTTAGTTTTAGTCAAATTCCTTATATGTTTACACATACTGTCATGTTTTTTTTGTTGTTTTATTGGCAAGATTTTGTCTTGTGTTCTTTTCCTGCCTCTGTGTTTTCTTCCTTTTGTCATTTGTTTCATTTGTCATGTTTCCTGTTTTACTTTGTAGTGTGTCTCCCACCAGTGTTTTTGTGCTGCTGTTACTTGTGTTTCTACGATTGTTTGCGCCTGTCTCATCCCCCTGACTGTGATTACCTGTGCCTCATTATCCTCACTTATCCCATGTGTATCTACAGAGCTGTCTGTCTATGTTTCGTTGCTTGTGCATTAATTCATGTTTCATGGCTATTTGCCATTGTTCACTATCTGTCAGGACTGTCCTCCAGAGGTATACCAGTGTTTCGTGTCCCCGGAGTTCCACCCTCATTTCACCTTCTTGTTTGGATTTATGGACTCGTCACTGGTTTGTTAATAGCTACTTTGACATAGCTTTTGCAGTGCCTGACTCACGTCATCAGTAGTTTCACCACTTGTGGTTAATAAACCTCACTAAGTCTACCTGTTCCGCCTGCGTTTGGGCCCAAAAACTATTCAGTTTGTGAGCTGAACGTGATGAAACTGTTTAGAGAGGTAAATCTTCAGAAGCATAGACCCACAAAATGAAAATGTTCCTTTTATTTTACTTTTCCACCAACTACCATAATGTTACGTTTTTTTTAATGAGTTTTTCCTGCCTTAAAGACAGCCATCTGTCAGAATCAGAATCAGCTTTATTGCCAAGTAGTGCTTTACACATATGAGGAATTTGCTTTGGTGATAAGGTGCTACACGCAGACAGACATACAGCTGACATAAATAGATGTAGAAATATATAAATATGTAACAAACAAATGCAAGTTATAGAAGAATAACAGAAGAATAGAGAAAAATAATACAACTGACAATATAAAAAAATAAAATAATAATAAAAATAACAGTGGAACAACAATGATTTACAATTACAACAAATTAACAACAAATATGTTGATCTGTCAGATCAACTAGCAGAGTCTATACAGCTTCATAAGTGTAACAGTTGTTCAAGTGTGTGCAAAACGTTTTGCACAGTTTTCAAATAGGTATTGTGCTGTAGTCTTAAAACTGCTATATCATGCAGCGTAAAAACGTCACTTTCAGTGTGAATGCTGGTGTGAAAATAAAGTGCTCTCTTGAATCACCCGGACTTTCCACATATTACTTTACTAGGTTTCACGTTTTAAACATGAACATAGAAACCCACACATATTTTGCTAATGAAACGCATCCTTCACCTAAGATAGAAATAAAATAAGTTTGACAAAAATAAAAGCAAACATGTTTTCCACTAGCTTTATGTCTCTTAAGTTGATTTTGTTTTCTACTGTAGCTCAATAAATGGATGTAAACAGCGGTCTAAGAAGTGACCACACCTCATTCATAAATACAAAACACAACAAAACAAATATAAAATGAACAGGGGTAATGTAAATCAAACTCTAGTAAATGTTTTCACACATGTAAAACACAGGCATGATCCTTGGATCCATGGAAGGCATTACATCAGCAGCTGAGACAAGCTGCCCAATCAGCTTGTTCTCTAAAGTGACACATGCAGTCACTCCTGCTGCGTCCAACTCTGGTCCAGAGAAAACCATCTGTGGTTTCAGAGGCAGAGCTGAAAGGAAGAGGAGTGGAGGGCACGGAAGATCGAGCTCGGGCTGCGATGTACAGACTTAATCCTGACTGTTGGGTTTGGTCGCCCAGACCTCCTCTGCGTCTCCTTCCTCCGCATACAGGGAGTGTTGCTTCAGACATGCTGAGCCACCAGGAGGAGGAGGAGGAGAAGGAGGAAGAGGCAGGAGAGCATCCTGCTGTTTGCTGCTACACCACAGGTAGGTTTAAGATAATATTTTATTGATTTACTTTTGGAAATTAAGTTGTTGCAGCTGTAAAAGCTGTAGAAATGTTGAAAAATAGGCATTATTATACAACAGAAAAACAAAGTACAGTATAAAAATATTTTTTTTAGAACACAACAATAACAATTAGTCAGATATATCTGACTTATTGTCCACTCACTATTGGCATATGCTGCTTGTTCTAATTAGAAGGTGAGATAAAATAGAACTATTCATTCTGAAAGAATAATTTGTGCCCAAGATGCACACTATACACAGTAAAATAACCACAGTATACACAAGGTGTAACTATATTACAGTATAAATGGAAAACGAAAAAAAGAAAATTGTACATATTGAATATTCACTCTGCAAATGAGATACTATAGATGATACATTTTACCAAACGTCGTACTCTTCACTGTATGAAAACTATAGGCTGTTGCTCACAAGAAGAGAGCTACACACTCTAGTTTGTTACATATTTTTGTTTATAAATGTCTCCTACTGCAGCTGCCTCAGTATAACACATCACAACTACTGTTCCACTCTTCATACTCAATTTGGGAAGGCAGTCTTTCAGTACTTATCACCTTATAAACAGAATTAACTACTAAGAACATCTCACCCTAATTGGATGAATTGAAATTTTAACATTGAGGCTACCTGACTGAATAAAGGTGAAATAAAAATGAGCGTGTTGATCCTGTCGGTGTCAGCTGATGTCACCCTTCTGCCCCAACATATCACAGCACACATCAAAACACTTTGGCTTCAAATCCATCCCTGCCTGCATGTTTTTGTTTGCTCCTGAAAAATCTCCCACTCCACGCTGTGTGTGTGTGTGTGTGTGTGTGTGTGTGTGTGTGTGTGTGTGTGATGACTGGTGACTACAGTCCTGCTCCAAACCCAGCAGGTCTCATCAGCAGGTGTTGGGGAAACAGACGGATCAGACATATGATTCAGCCATGACGCTCTAAGCCAAGCCCCTGAATTAACCAACCCTGTATGTTTGGATTGCTGATGAAAATTAGTTTTTATTATGTTTTTTTATTCTGAAAAAAACTAACACCACCTGGTAATTATAAATCTTTATTTATTTTGCTATTTTTTATGGATGTTTTATTTTGGATGGTTTATGGAGAAAAAAATCAACAACTCTGAGCTAAATACCATATATGGAGATGGGAGGAACAAGTCAATCAAAGATTTTAAACAAAAAACACAATTGTATTAATACATTTTACAGCCAAAACTAATCAAATCAAAGCACTGTTTTACCTCCTTTGTGAAAACTAAGAATTTTGTCTTTTTACCTGTGCATTTGCATGAATATGGATTTTAGCCAATAAAATGACATAATGAATAATACAACATGCAAAACATGAGGTTTTACTGGCCCCTGTGTGAATGTGTGAATGAGAGGTAAGCTGTAAAATGCTCTGAATAAAACGGCCAGAGTCCGTTTATATGTTTACGATAATGTTTAATTGTCATTCAAACAGCTGTTGGTAAAAATACAAAAGTTATTCCCACACAGCACAGTTTCACAAAAGGGCAGAATAATGTGCAATTCAAATCAATATTACTCTCTACTCTTCTCACCTGTATCTGCAGGTTGTGATGACATCATCCGCCGGGCTGCTGATGCTCAGTGGTCCACCTCCGAAACTCCCATCCACTCAGGGGTTCCCAGCAGCTCTGGACTTGCTGGGCGAGGTCCTGGTGCTCCTTCCTCACAGCAGCCAAAAACAGCGATCGATGCTGATGATGGAGATGTATCGCGGCATTTCATTGGCGGTTGTTGCTGGGAGGGTCCCGGGATGGAGCCCCGGGGATGTGTATGTGCTTATGGGCAGAGGGAACCGGAAGGTTTGGGTTCCTGTTGGCCTGGATCTCCATACGTTTACTACGGAGGTGAGGGCTCACCTCATGTTTCCTAAACATTGCATTTAGTGATGGTTTTAACAACATGCTTCCTTTCGATTTAAAAAAAAATGGGCATTAAAATGTTCCATCAAGACAGTTAAAGCTAAATGAGCTCCTGCACATCCACACAGTACAGGACATACAGAACAGTGTGAGAAATCTAGAAACCTCAGAAAGAACACCCCCACGTCTTGATCATCTTTTCTTTTTGCTCATGACATGCTTTTTAGATAAGATGTCATTTAATCATAGCAATTTAGTGAGAATAAATTACTACACTAAAAGATAAGTTGGAATTTTATGAAACAAAATGATATGTATACAGACACACATTGAGTTTACATGAGCACATCTAGCCCTTTTTCAACGCAGCCAGGAACATAATAAAATGGAACATTTCTGTTTTCTGCGTTCTGTTTCTAATTCCGCTGCTCTGTGACTACTTTGTGGAGTTCCTGGAACTAAATTTGGACACTGCTCGGGATGTTATTCTAAATATAAGTTTCCAGGTACTTTTCTGGAGTCAGTGATTAGAAACCAAAAGGTGAACCACAAGTTGTCTCAGTGTCATAGGATTACAATGCTCGGTGTGGACCAACCTGAAAACTTTCATGTGGTTAGACATGCTGGACTTTCAGTGTGAGCTTGTGTTGCAGTGAACTGTGGGAAGCACTTCATGCATGAAGAAAGTGTATCATGCCTTTGCTGCATTAGAGGAAAACAACAAGGGAGGATATCTTTATCTATCCTTGCTTTGATTAGAAACCGGTTTCACTTTGTTTAGCAGCTGTCTGTCATCAGGGTACGTTAAGGATTCCTCTTGACGCAATTTGAGGCAAGACATTTTCATATAAATTAAAATGCACATATCACATTAAAATATGCTGTACACAACATGGTGAACAGGTTTGACTGTTTTATAGGAAAAGGTGGTTAAAGGTTAAAGTTCCAAATATTCCAAAACCAATAAATATAAAATCTAACCTTTGTAGGATCTTTTTAGTGTGGCACAACTCTCTGCAATTTCTTTCCGCACGAAGACTAACTAATTTGTAATAACTTGGGTCTAGTGTGCCATTATTATGGAAAACCAACAACATGGAGGTTATGGGGAAAATGCCTATAACAGCATCCCTGTGTTTGCTTTATGCAGTGAGGAGGAACCTGGTGGTTGGAGTGCAGGTGGTGGAGGAGGTCGCTGTTGAAGACACTCTAGAAGTAATGTAAGTACTGTATGAATGACAATCCTACCGTTAATGGAATTGTTTCCATGGTATATCTAACTTCTATTAATCCTACATTCTGTAATATTTTATGTCTGGTTGAGAAACATAGTTGCTGTCTTTTCTGTTCTCAGAACAGAGGACATATATACAGATGATCTGATGGATCCTGAAGTGCTGCAAGACGCCCAGCTGTACCCCACATGAGCCCCAAGTAACTTTCAGCGTGTCCTGTTTGGACTGTATACACTGTAAACAAAGATATTATTCACATATTTGCTAAATTTGATTGTATTTGATATATGTATCACTATTGTTACATTGTGTCTTTTGCGTTCTCATTTTATTTATTTATTTATTTATTTACCAAGGACAATGCACATTAATCAACATTGTAGTTTACACTTTACAGTTTACTGTAAATGTAGCAGAGTTAGCTAATAATCTAGTTTTCATTCATAGTTATTTTTTAGTAGGCTAAAGCCGCTGTCAACTGTAACTAATAAGAACAGAAAATAAAATAATAAAAATTATATTGTACATGTACATGTTTTATTTTTTAAAATTGATATAATATAATATAATATAATCAAAATACAGGGGTTGGACAATGAAACTGAGACACCTCTCATTTTAGTGTGGGAGGTTTCATGGCTAAATTGGACCAGCCTGGTGGCCAATCTCCATTAATTGCACATTGAACCAATAAGAGCAGACTGTGAAGGTCCAATTAGCAGGGTAAGAGCACAGTTTTGCTCAAAATATTGCAATGCACACAACATTATGGGTGACATACCAGAGTTCAAAAGAGGACAAATTGTTGGTGCACGTCTTGCTGGCGCATCTGTGACCAAGACAGCAAGTCTTTGTGATGTATCAAGAGCCACGGTATCTAGGGTAATGTCAGCATACCACCAAGAAGGACGAACCACATCCAACAGGATTAACTGTGGACGCAAGAGGAAGCTGTCTGAAAGGGATGTTCGGGTGCTAACCCGGATTGTATCCAAAAAACATAAAACCACGGCTGCCCAAATCACGGCAGAATTAAATGTGCACCTCAACTCTCCTGTTTCCACCAAAACTGTCCGTCGGGAGCTCCACAGGGTCAATATACACGGCTGGGCTGCTATAGCCAAACCTTTGGTCACTCGTGCCAATGCCAAACGTCGGTTTCAATGGTGCAAGAAGCGCAAATCTTGGGATGTGGACAATGTGAAACATGTATTGTTCTCTGATGAGTCCGCCTTCACTGTTTTCCCCACATCCGGGAGAGTTACGGTGTGGAGAAGCCCCAAAGAAGCGTACCACCCAGACTGTTGCATGCCCAGAGTGAAGCATGGGGGTGGATCAGTGATGGTTTGGGCTGCCATATCATGGCATTCCCTTGGCCCCATACTTGTGCTAGATGGGCGCGTCACTGCCAAGGACTACCGAACCATTCTGGAGGACCATGTGCATCCAATGGTTCAAACATTGTATCCTGAAGGAGGTGCCGTGTATCAGGATGACAATGCACCAATACACACAGCAAGGTGAAAGATTGGTTTGATGAACATGAAAGTGAAGTTGAACATCTCCCATGGCCTGCACAGTCACCAGATCTAAATATTATTGAGCCACTTTGGGGTGTTTTGGAGGAGCCAGTCAGGAAACATTTTCCTCCACCAGCATCACGTCGTGACCTGGCCACTATCCTGCAAGAAGAATGGCTTAAAATCCCTCTGACCACTGTGCAGGACTTGTATATGTCATTCCCAAGACGAATTGACGCTGTATTGGCCGCAAAAGGAGGCCCTACACCATACTAATAAATTATTGTGGTCTAAAACCAGGTGTTTCAGTTTCATTTTCCAATCCCTGTAGTAGACTTCAACTACCAGCATGCATCGCTTCTGTCCTCCCGCTAATGCCCAGGCATGACGTCATGACGTCGCGCAGAAAAATGGCAGCCCAAAGTGGAGCAAAATCAAAACACCGATGATTTCGGGACAAATTGTCATCTGGTCAGGATTTAAAGTCTTAAAATGTCGGACTCATTAGAAACACAAACTCTTCAGGATCGTCTGGACCGTCTGCGGGAGCTGACAGAGTTCACGGAGAACTGCAAAAAACAGCTACACGATATATTTGAAACGCTCGGGTGGTCGTGGGAGTACAACAAGGGCTCCAACCAAGTAAGTTAACGTTAACCCTTTAGCTAGCCTTAGCGTTTAGAAATCTTATAAGCAAATCTTATAGAAACTGTCTTATAGAAATCTTGGTTTTATCGTAGTTAAACAGCGTCATCTTATTCAGATTAAAGATCAGCGTTGCTTTTCAGTTGGTTTCCCGGGATACCGAGCTGTAGGTTAGCTAACGCTAGCTAACGTTAGCTAGCTAGTTAGCCTGTTTCCGTTAAAAGGGTCAACTCTGGTGGAAATGTTAACGATGGAATTTTCCCTCATGTATTTTCTATATATCGCCGATATATCTTTTTTCTTAACTTTTCTGTTCTGCCACAAGCAGTGTTTATTTATCCTTTTAAAAATGCTGTAACGTGTCTCTACAATATCATTTACTTTGTATGTAGTTTTGTTTGAATTAACAGTAGATATGTTTCCATTAACTGATTCCTGCTTGTATCTTACATTCTCAATGCTAAAATCCATGATATCATATTAGCCTAAATTCAAACATTTCTTCCTGCATGATACTAGCAGTGTTTCCCCAATTCTGATTCTTTGAAAAGCCCATTCACAAGTTTGCCCCCAGCAGAATGAGCTATGCAACGTTGTTTTATGTTTTTAAAATTAAATGGAAATGCACTTTAAAGTACAAATTAATTTTAAAAGTCTGCACGTTAATATGAAACCAGGACGTCCAAGCTTCCCCTGCACAAACTGACTACCACACATATGTTTTTCCACATAATGGCAATAAAATATCAGGTCAAACATACATTTGTGTGTGCAAACTAAAACACAGGGGGAGAGTGTGAAGCTGTGTGTCATCTAAAAGCAAAATCTTAAAGTGATCCTCATAATATCTGTGTTTGTGGTGTTTTCTCAGGAAGAAATGGAGCAGTGTCCCTACGACCCCGACCACAGAGTCCCGGTCAGGAGCATGGAGAAACACAAAGCCTCCTGCAGCCTACAAAAGATGGGCTACACAGCCGAGGAGCAGGTACACATGGTTTTACTCTAACAGAAAGTAGAAATGTCCCAGAGTATGGCATTTCGGATGTATAAAGTAAAATTCACTTTTGTTAGGTTTTACAACCTCCATCTGTGGCAGTAAAACCAGAGAGAATGGCAACAAAACAGAAGACAAAAGAATAAAAAACGTCTCTTTGTCATGAGTCAGCCTGTGAATCTTAATCATTAAGAGAACAATAACATGATTTGTCACTTTTTTTGCAGGCGGAGATGTTCGACCCTTCTGTGTGTTATGAGAACAGCAGTGTCAGAAGCTTTACAATGGGTGAGTCATTACTGATGTCTGTTACTGTAAATGCCAGCGGATCTAATGAAAGGGTAATGGGTTCAATAAAAAGTTTTTCCTTTTTAGAGATTTGGTGAAAACATCTTGAAGACTGTAAACATTTTGCAATGTATTTGTTCATAGAGATCTTTCTAAGATAATCTATGCCTTTTTCCTGCAAAACAACAGAAGAAATATACGCTAAATAAGAGTTTTCAAAGCTTCAAAGGACAGCTAAAAGGACAAGGTAGAATAACTTTTCATTTTACAGCACAGGGTTGTGTTAGAGATTCGGCTTCCCTTTATGCTGCTCGCAAAAACAAACGTTAAATGTACAAATATTATAAACAGAACATTGGTAGATAAATTACAAGTCATAGAAAGTCAAGATGTTTTAGAAAATAATGATCTTTGTTTGTTGTATATATTTTCCTAATTGCTGTTGATGAACATTTTTTAAAGAGGTTAGATTAGAAAACCTTAAAACAAATACAATGTGTTGTACTTGTTAAATGTCTTTGCATTTTCTTTATTTAACATAACTTAAAAGGACAGCGAAGAAAATATCAATATATAATATAAATATCAGTAAGCTATTATCTTGATATATAAAGATCTTTAAAATTATTTTTTTATTTAAAACATTCACCTCAATCTCGTGTCTGTGTCCTGGCAGCCAGTATTCTTTGGTGAAGTTTTTTATCTTTATTACAGGATGAAACAGATGAAATCACGTGTATTTAAAAAATGAAAATGGAAAAAAAACACACTTGGTACATTTTTCAGTTGTCGTCATGTCGCTTTCTTCATGCAGACAAATCCACCCAGCACCAGGTGATCCTGCAGGCGAGATCTGCTGCACCACTGATGAAGATGGAAGGAGTCTTCTGGCAAGGTGTGTGAGCTTAGTTTGTAAACGGTTCACTGCAAAACTGATTCCTCAGACGTGCTGATGTTTACCATCCTGACCAGAGACCAGGCAGCTTTTTAGTAGACGCAACTGCACACAGTTAAATTTCACAACCTAAGAACATTTAGTCTCACGGTCCAGATGCAATGATGAACCACTAGATGTCACCAGAGGGTTATCTTGTGCCTAACCACTCAGATGTTTGGTCCCTCTTAACCTACACCTGCCTCCAGCTCCCCCTAAATATTACCCCTGCAAACAAGAAGCTTCTGTGTCTTTCAGATATTTACTTAATTTGAGATTGTCACCTTTTTAATTTAATGTAATTTTGTGTGTTGTGTGTTCTGTTTGCAGTGACAGGGGTGAGTATTAGAGAGGAGCTGGGCTCTAGAAAGTTCCGCTGCCTGATTACGTGTAGTATCCTTTAACGTCATATCCTTTCAAACCACAGGGCTGGGCTGGGACACACGCACACTCTCTTTTCCCTTTACGTGTTGGGAAAAACTTCATACATTCAGACTTATTAGTGTGAGTAGATCCACATTGATCTCAGAGGTGGTGCTCATAGTCAGAAAAGGAGCTTAGAACCTCTTAATATTTTACTTCGGCTAAGAAGAAACTGAGCAGGAGCCTGTTAAATTACAAACACATCAATGACGTTACAATTTTGTAGGGAGATGGAGAACTTGTTGAGCATGTTTATCAAATCCTGCTATGATCTGTGAAATAGACCAAGAATCTAACAGAAAAAACTAAAAGAGTTTCTCTTTGGTTACTCGCTTGCAGGAGAACAGTTCATAAAATAAATTTTCAGCTCTTTTGTTGCACTTGATAACAGCTGGACTTGTATCGTATAATTAGTGAAATGGAGGGATAAATGATGTGTCGGGGTGATTTGTGCGTAAAGCCTCTCTGGTCCTCCATCAGGTCAGTACTCAGGCCAGCCTGTCGACGTGCCGCAGACCCATAAGCGTGCAGTGTGTGACCTTACTGTGGCCGACCGATTGGCTCTGTACGATCATGTGGTTGGTGTCCTCGGGCAGAAGGAAGCTGCCTCCTCCAGCAACGATGATCTCTACGTAGATTTGGTGTCCAAACTCCAGAAAGGTAAGATTCACACATTAAGATGAAGACCTCCCAGATCCTCCCAAATGTCTGAATTTGAAAATACTGGGTCAGATCACCTGCACATGGTTTTTACAGACTATCTGGATTGTAGAGGAACAATCTTACCAATAAAATCCTCCTTTAGAAGCTGTTTATACAGAGCAGTTTGGTGTCTGCCTCTGGTGAAATGTGTGTTTTTGTGTGTAGATGATGAACAGAATGAACCAAAGACTCACCTGGAGCTGATGGCAGAGATGAGAGACTACAAGAGGCGGCGTCAGTCCTACCGAGCCAAGAACGTCCACATCACCAAGAAGTCCTACACCGAGGTTCTTTACCAATTATGTCATGTTATGTTTTCAAGGACGTGAAAAAACACCAACACTCAAAATCCCATAAGGAGAGCACATTGTCCAGCACAGAGAAGTTGTTTCCTTGTTCATCACATCTGCCCAATTTAAGCCAGAAACTTTCAACAACTTCAAAATCATCAATCATTTCTTTTGGTTTTGGCAACAGTGATTTTTTTTACACTGTGAATGTGACCCGCAGCAGATTCTTGAGATGCGTTCAGATTGAACATGAAGTGTTCCTGAAGTGAGATGAAGTTTCTTCTCGGTTTATTCACATTACTTAGCTTAGATAGCTGGAAAGCCACAAGCGGTCAGACCGTCTGCAGAAGCCGAGGTGCTGGAGGCACAGGAGTAACTGCTCAGTATCAATCAGTATCTGCTGTGTCTGTGTAGGGAAATCAGTAAGACGCTTGGGCGGCTGTGGCTCAGGAGGTAGAGCGGGTTGGCCGTTAATCGGAAGGTCAGGCTCCCCCTGGTTGCGTGTCAAAGTGTCCTTGGCAAGATACTGAACCCCGATTTGCCCCTGGCGGCTGTTCCGCCAGTGTATGAATGTGTGTGACTGGTGAATGCAGATGTAGTGTAAAAGCGCTTTGAGTGGTCGAAAAGACTAGAAAGGCGCTATACAAATACGGAGCATTTACATTTACTTAAAATCTTACTGTGCTGGGAAAAGCTTTTTGTGTGTTCCAACTAAACTCTATAAACTGGTGTCTGAAAGTTTGACTGTCTGGCATCACTGCGGTCATCCTGCAGGTGATCAGAGAGGTGATCAACGTCCACTCAGAGGAGCTCACCAGACAGTGGAGAGAGGAAGAGGACGAGGACGAGTCGGCCAGATCTGAACTCTCCTCCCACAGGTACAACAAACACCATGGCCTCCTGACAATCAGTTTCCTGTAATGTTGTGATTAATGAAATGAAAAGTATTTTAAAGTGAAGAAAGTCTGACAGAACAGTTGAAGGCTAACAACTGATATTGTGTGACTGTCAGGCGCCGGCTGGATGAAAGGCGCTCTGCGTCGTCAGAGTCTCGTCACTCCCACAGCAGACGCCATCGCAGCCGGGAAAGAAGCCAAGACAGAGAGAGCAAGAAGAAGAGGAAGAAGAAGGAGAGGTGTGAAAGGACAAACCTCTTTATGTTGTCCCAGGTTCTTTTAGCTTCATTACTGGATACTTGTCAGATACAGAATAGGCTTTTGCTGTCAAACCTCTAACGAATACATTTGTCTTCTAACAAAGCAGCTATAGAAAAATTAGATGGCAATTAGTCAAAGATGGATTAGTAGAACAATCTTTTTTTGAAAGTGCCAAAATGCATTCTCACTGTTTGCCTTGGGAATCTTTGCAGGGATTCCCACTCCCCTGATGACCGCCACCAAGACCGAAAGAAGAAGAAAAAAAAGAAGAAGGAGAAGTGATAGTTCTGGATCAGCAACAGCAGAAGCCCGATCCGATGTGGGTCATTGTGGCCTCTACAGGTCAAAAGATGTCAAGTGTCATAACTTTTAACGTCCAGAAATGAAGATAAATGGGAAATAAAGTTTTTGGGAACCAACAACAGCAATATTTAGAGCTTTTTTTTGCTTCACAAAAACCATTGTGAAATATAAAATGTTGTAAATTTCAGTGTTTTACAGTTCAGTTACATGTCTGCTAATCCTTAACAGGCCCCGCCCACCTCTGCGTGATTGGCTGGGAGAGGTTTTCAACCAAAAACTGTTAGGAATGTTGGACAGGAGTGTCACAGCTGACACGCTTTTATCACTGGGTCAAAGGTCACTCTTGTTTCATTATTTACGCAAGGTTTCTGCAGTCATTGGGAAATCCTGGGAAGTTTCTAAATTCTTTTTAGAAAAATGACTCGATTCTGAAATCCATGGCAGAGAAAATTATCACAGTGCTTCACATATAGGATGGGACACATATCACTACGAGTACACACAGACAAAGGTTAAAGTCCTTCCATCCATCCATCTTCAACCGCTTATCCTGTGTACAGGGTCGTTGGGGGCTGGAGCCAATCCCAGCTGACACTGGGCGAAAGGCGGGGTACACCCTGGACAGGTCGCCAGTCAGCAAAGATTAAAGTATATAATCTAAATAAACAAAACTTAAGGCAAAGGGAGCGTTTCTAAAAAGGCAAACAGCAAACCACAGAGTCAGCGGATCTGATGGATGCGGAAGGATATTTCAGAGTTCAGGCACAACAAATGAAAAAGTGCGCTCACCATATGATTTAAAATAGGGACAGGGAAAAGATAAAAGACCTTAATCCGGTGATCAGAGTGGCTGAGAGCTCAAATAGGGGCGCAACAACGCTGCTATATATACGGGGGCTGTAGGCCATGCAAGGCTTTGTAGGTGATTAGTAGGATTTTAAAATTAATTCTGTGTTTTACTGGAAACCAGAAAAGGGCGGTGCGAACTGGGATGATATGAGTCAGAACACTGGTATTTGTTAACACTCTTATTGCAGCATTTTGCACTTAGACAAGACAGACTAGAGAGGGCTGAGTAATGCAAGTAAAGAGGGAGTTATACTCTAAATTAGAAAGGGTTAGGGTGTGTACCAGAAGTTCCATTGGTTTGGCTGATAATGATATTATTTCTCAGCTGAATGAAACAACACTGAATGACTTTAGTGGTGTGGGGTTCAAAGTTCAATGTTGGTCAAAAGGAATACCAAGATAACCAGGACTGCTGAAAGTTTAAACTAGCGGGCAACTGATCCATATTTTAGTTTAAACTATTGTCTGTGTTCTCTATATAATATATATATATGTCATTTTCTACATTTTTTACTGTTAAAACGTGTCAAGAAAAACTCGATTTTGGCATTCCTTTCAGTCTACGTTAGGGCTGATACAATTGTTTTAGTTGTTTACTGCTAATAATTTTCCTGACTAATTGTTTGGTTGAAAAAACATCAGAAGACAATAAGAAATGAAAAACGCAAATTTCCTAGAGGAACTCACATATACCGTTTATAGTAATGTACTCTTACAGTACTCTGAAAATTACTTCATAACATAAAAATAAATGTATAATTAAACTAGCTGTTATTTAATTTCATAAATCTGTTTGCAGCTCTGGGTCAGATCATTGTATAGTTTGTGTGTAGTTATTTTAGCACTCTAAACTATTTAAACTTTTGTTTATTGCGATGTTGCGAAACATTTGTTCTCATGATATAAGGAAAATTACTTTGACAAGATAGAATAGAGAGGAAATTGGGCTGAGCAGCGAGAATCCATTTTAATCTGCAGATAGATTAAGTATTTGTAGTTTCTTGCATAGTCTTGTCAAGTTGGCTTTTTGGCATGGGAGTTGTGTTTTCAGTGCCGTTGGTGAGAATATGTCATAAATGTTCAGTTTCAATGAAATGAAATGTAGATGTAGATATGTTTAGCATATTCAGATAAAACTCAAAACAATCTGGCGCGTCCATGTATTTTAACTTTGATGCAGAAGATTACAAACTGATGAAAAGGTGTTTCAGGTATTAAAATAATATATAATGCTTTCTAGTTACTTCTTGAACTGTAAACATCACGTGAGAAGAATAAATGCTTAAAGTTTAGACATTTCTGCACAGATCCCTCGGTCTCTTTCTCTGTCTTGGTGTTTCTCTGCTGATGCTGGATTCTGGCTCAGGTATTTCTCACCCTGTTGAGATGCAGAGATAGAGCATGTGAAGAACACGAGAAAAAAAAAAGACGGAGAGGATCCCGTCAGTGCCTGGGAACCTGAGGGATCCTGGAGAGACAGAGCGAGGACAGGGGGAACCACCGGGGTGATAATGCTGTAAGGAGAGCTGCTCAGGGAAAGCTAAATCAGGTCGTATTTTTGTCCTCATCTGTATCCTGAAAACGTCCTGCGCAGGATCTGGTTTAGTCTGAGGGGACTCTGCAGCACCATGGGAGCCTCCAGCGACAAGGTAAGAGGGGATGGTCTGGGTTTGGCCTGGGGCCCTGCAGGTTTGGTGTATGTTTTGCCTCCCTGATGGGACCGGGGTGTAATTTAAATTGAAATCAAATGATTTCTTGTGCAGGAGGCAGGTAATAAAGAGGACTGATCACCGTTAACATGTTTTGGACAGTTAATATCAAAAAAACTGTTCAGGTTTAGCTGTTAAATCAAGCAGTTTGTTTTAGCACTCGGTCTGTTTTAAAGTAGTTAACAAAGTGTCAAAACATCAGGCCTTAAAAATAAGTATTGCTTAAAAGTTGAATATATAACGTCATCATTTCCACATTAAAATGTCAGCTGAATTTGTTTCTCTCTTTGTTAGAGTTAATAGAGAGGATCAATGTTGGGATAACGCCTGTTTTAGAAAATGAACTGAGAGTCTAACAGAAACTCACCAACCATTTGTTAAATGTCTTTATTTATTTGGTCTTAGAAAAGTATTAAATGTGACTTTCTGCTACCTGCATACACCCTGAAGTTCTAACACGTTCTTCAATACAACTTAAAACTCACTCAGCTTCGTTCTGCACATTCAGGCATGATGAAAAATGTTTGATCGTATGTGAAGGACATTTGTTTGGAAGTTGTTTTGCTGAGATCATTTTCCATTGTGGCAGATGAAAAAGCAGATTTTTATCTACGTTGCTCTTGAGTGCATAAACAACGGTTTTATTTGACTTGTTCTTTTGAAAGATAATCATCATAATAAAACCTTAAACAGGAATTGTTTTCCCCTGAAATGTGCAGACCATGAGGCATTTTTATTGTCAGGTACAGTAAAATCCTGGAGAAAATAATTTTATCTGAAACCCCAAAACAACCTACACTGACAAAATATACTGCATTTTCATCATACAACACACGTTTTATTTATTTGGAGCAATGTTGCATGACACAAAACATTTTTTTCTATCACAACCCACAAATATCCATGAGAAGGTGTTGAATATGAAAGACTATGGAGCGTAGCAGGTGAGACCCACCTCAGTGCCCCAGAGGTCCCGCAGGTCAGGATTATTGGTCCATTCTCACCACAACAAGCTCCACCTGTATCGCTTCTGTTGCAGCAGATTTTAGATTTAAGCCCAAACTAACCTGTAGTGAGTGTTAATTTACAGCACATCATACTGTACATCCAGCAGAGCCCAGAGACACTGCTGAAAATATTCAGAGTAACAGCTGAACTCTGAGATGAATGTGGCAAACACATTTCTTGTGCTCTTTTCTGCATTTTTACTAAATCAAAACAGGCCCCTTAAATGTATTTTCAAAATAAAAAAAGTAAAGTTGTTGAGGAGAAATACAATTTTTTGCCAGCCATGACTGTCAGCTGTTTGTGGCTCTTCGTTTCTACTTTTACCCTAAATTATCCTTTAAGTTAAAAATAGTCGTGGACAGTCGTTTAGATGTTTTGAGAGTTAAATATATCCCTAAACGAATTTTCTAAAACCAAATATCTAATGTGTGATTTGTGATATTGGGCTGTATAAATAAAATTGACTTGACTTGACTGTGAGATTTTAGAAATCACACAATGTAAGTGAGGTCATGGTCAGTCTCTCCCCTTCAGCCCACAGTTTACTGACCTCATGTCTCACTGTGCAGCGCGGCTAAACGTTCAGGATTTTCCTAAGATCACAGTGACGCTTAAGGAATGTCAGATGAGTCTGAGAAGAACTCAGCGGTTTTCATCCTGACAAAGAAACCTCTCAGTCTGTTTCACTCTCACCCAAACACCAGCAGAGTTTCATCTGAGCAGCTCAGACCCTCAACAGCCACAGGGAGCCTGCACTCTTCAGAGAAAGAATCTACTTTTTAAATGTAGTCCACTTAAACACTTTTCCTTCACACAGCAGGCTCTGCTTGCTTTATCACGCCTGTTGCTCTTTTGGTGCCAGTTTAGGTGACTCAGGCTGCAATGATGCATAAATTAATGGAAGTTGTCCGTAAGGATTTTTCAGCTAATATGGAAGGAAGCTGGCTATTTATTTTGGCTTGATTCTTTATGGCTGCACCTAAATCTGCAGTTATCACATGCATTAATCATGGTGCAGGCACTGTGCTGTCCAAAAAATAAGGGCAGTTTTATCTAAACATCTAGATTCCTTTATATGTGCTGTATTTCCAGTTATTGTGGATTACGTCACATGATATTAATTTATATATCCATATCTCCCTGCATTATGTTCTGCTGTTATTTATATTTATAATCAACTTTTTGTGATGTGTTTAATTCTAAAAAGTTCTAAAATTTTGGGTAAAATATCCAAACCCCTGATATGAGTTTGTTATTTGAGCCAATCTTGAGTTCAAAAAAGTCTAAATCTTTTTGTTTTACAATGGTTATTTGGTAATTGAATATTAAGTATTTGTTTTAACAGTGTTACATAAAATCCATAACTCCTAATTAAAGCTGAGTTTAGCAAAGTTGTAGACACCAGCCAGAGTTTGAAAGTTTCAACCGAAGAAATCCCACCCCCTCCCCTCGGGCTTCCCTCCCTCAAGAACACATGTGCATGTGCAATGAGTGCACTGGCAGAGTGCAAATTAAAAGATAGTATGTGTTTTATACAGATTTATACGTTAAATAT